ATTACTGACCCAAGTATCAGCATTTTTACATTTGTAGGTATTCAGGTATGTGAAGTTCCTTTCCCAAATATACTGCTATAAACAGCCAGAAGTAATATATATATATATATATATATATATATATATCTTTAATTCAAAAGCACGTGTCATTGCTTGCAAAACAGTGCCAACAAAGAAGTATGTTGTATGTTGTTAAAATGGAATACCTTGATTATCATTAAAATTGTACTTCTGAAAATTGGAAAGCTGGGTTATAAAAGACAGAGTGCTTTTTCTATTATAGAACACACATATAAGGAGTAGAGAGAGGTTTTGAAGTTGGGAGAACTTCTTCACTATCTATAGTGAACTGCGATATAGAAAACAAGCCTTAACCTTTTTCATATAAGCATTTTTTCTATTACAATTGATGGGACATTGCTAACATTTGAACAGAATAATGCACAAAGCAATCCAGCATGATATTTTGAAAGTGTAAAGGCTAAAATTGCATCCCCTGAACAGAGTAATCGACAGAGAGAAATCACTAATAAAAAAGATTGCCTTTGGAAAAAGTTGTACTTTGTGCAAAAGTAATACCTAGTCTGATAGTTCAGATTTTTAGTTAATATATTACATTTATTCTTTATGCCCTATAACACTAAACAAGGTTTCAATAATTTAGTGTTTATTAAAGAGGATAGTGAACTAAAATGTCTGTGAAATAATTTTAAACCTATGATGTCATCTTTACACTTACGTTACAGCTAGATTTTCAGCAACATAAAAACATTCAGGATGGTCTCTGAACTCATAGTTCTTCTGCCTCATCCTCCATAGAATACTTTACTGGCGTGGTGGTCAATTAGTTCACATAGAGCCCAGGAATTATCAGCTATCAGCAACATTCATAACCATCCTTAAGAAATAGATGACAAAACCATTTGCTGAATATATCATACACTTGAGTCATAAAACACGGAGAAATTAAGATGGAGCATTATCTCTATCACTTACCTTTCATGGTGCTAGAAGATGCTATGTACCCTGTTGGAGGTACTCCTCAGTCTCACGTGGTTGAAAACCCTGCAACAACTGGCCTTAAAAGATATGGTGCATTTGCGGTGCAAATGTTATGAAAGTAACCAACCACTTTCCCAGTATATCTAAGGCCCACTCCATGATACGGAATCTGGAGCTCTGTTAAAGAGGCCTAGAACCTGTAATGAATAGGAAATAGGCCCTAAGGGATGTCCCAATACTATTCTTAAATGGACACAGTATTAAAAGAACTCCTAATGACGTATTGCTGTATCCATAGATAAGCGCATATCTCAGTTGTCACCAGAGAAGCTTTTTCTTGCAGTAGATGGCAGCTAACACAGACATTCTCAGTTGGGTCATGTGAATAGAATAAAAGACTGCGGAGTTCTCAGCCCTAAATTGGACATACTTATCACACTCCTTTCTACAGGGCTCAGGAATCTTCAAGGAAGAGGTAAAAAAAGATCATTCGTGCCAAAGGTGGTTGCTAACATCAAGGACACAACATCTTCCAGAAGCAATAGGGCATTTGCACATATGAATTCAAATCAATTGTGATAACAAACAAATGACCTGTGCAAGATCTGGTGAGAAAATACCCACCATGGGTATGGCGGAATACAGTGAGTTCAAAATTCTACACTCGCTGATAAGCTGTTATCATCTGAAGTCTCTTGGGGGAGGGTAAGTTAGTTATATTTAATGAGCAATCCACGATAGGCTAACCAGATACAAGGGTGGAATCCACTCCCACGAGAAGCTGGGCAACTAAAAATGAACTCAATGGGGAAAAGGCGCCAAAAAAAAAAAGTTAAATCTCAAAGTTTCATGGAAAGGGATGAGAGCGTATAGAGGGATGTTATGGGGGGACTTTGGGAAAGGGATGAACATGTTCATTATACAAAATTCTATAATTATATAAAATTCTCAAAGAAATAATAAAAGTGTTGTTAAGAATACATTAACAAAGATGCTAGTCAGATATGGCTATTTTTACAGACGATCCCCCTGTTTGGGATTACCACAAGTATTTGTTTCATACATTGTTGTCTCAAAAAATGATGGAGGAGGGTTATCTGTCTATTGTGTTATTTTCATTGGTCAATAAAGAGACTGCCTTGGCCCCTTGATAGGACAGAAAATTAGGTAGGCGGAGTAAACAGAACAGAATGCTGGGAAGAGGGCAATGAGGCAGAAGCCATGGAGCCAGCCACCAGGTCAGACATGCTGAATCTCTCCCGGTAAGCCACCACCTCGTGGTGATATACAGATTAATAGAAATGGGTTAATATCAAGATATGAGAGTTAGTCAGTAACTAACTCTCTAGAGATAATGGGCCAGGCAGTGCTTAAATGAATACAATTGGTGTGTTGTTATTTCTGGGACTAAGCTAGCCATGCAGGAGCCGGGCGGGATGAAAAGCAGGCCTGCCCGCAGCCCCTCACAACAAAAACAGATTCACAAAAAACTTTAGAAAACAAAGCATTATTATTAATATGTAAATATAAACAGGAAGAAATTAATTATATGATGATGAATTATTTAAAACCAAGATGTTATCCCTGGTTCAAATAGCTGGGCATATAATATGAAGTCACCTTTGAGGAGCGAAACTTTGATACTATGTGTTATATAATTGCTTCCTTCAAACAGAATATCCCCTCTTTAGTGGGGTTCATGGGACTCGGGAAAGTGATTATGTCCAAGTCTCAGGAAGCACCTGAAATTTACAGGTTTTTAAAGGCCAGTCCCTGTGGTTGTCTAAGTAGTGAGTGATTGCTAAGAGACAGGATATGCTCTGGTAGAACTGCTTACAGGTTGGATAGGGTGCTCTGGGCTTCAGTTTTCATGCTGAGGTACGCTTCTCAGTGTCACTGTAGGATCTGAGACATCAGATCTTTTATAAACAACTCAATGGTTCATCAACATAGACTTGGATAGAATGGCTTCTTTGGTTTGTCATTAGTTTCCTATCCAGGGTGAATGGATGTTTCTTCATAGTTCCCCAAGCAGTCACTCAACAGCATCAAATTCCTATGGTAAAGTCTATTAATCTAAACACAATCTTCTGATGTTGTATTTGAAATGGGCAATATTCACTAGAATTTATAAACCTTACTAGGCAACTCTAGTTTATAGTCATGTTCTTTTGAATATGTACTTCCAAATCTTTATATGCAAAAAATGATTATTAAAAGATGTGTTCTATTCACTTGTCAATAAAATTCACACAGGTTGTGATGTTTTGTTATAGCAGTACGAAGAGACTAAAGGTTGTTTGGTGTGTGTATGTCTGTGCTTAAATTTCTCCAATTCATATACAAGAATTGACTTTGTTTCTAAACAGGAACACATTCTAGGGACTGAAGATTAAGAAATTAACCAATAATATGGTCCCTGTGTTTAAAATTTGTCTTGCTTTACCATTAGTACTGAATTAGAGATTATGTAGATGATTGAAAACCATTACTTTAATAAGGTAAATAAATTAAAAATAAGGAAAAATAAAAATAATAATTCAAGTTTCTAATCCTAATTACCATTAACAATCTCTACTAACATCAGTATAGAATTACTGCCATTCATTGGAAGAAAGTGGGGTAGATTATTGGTTCCAATGAAAACCATCATTTTCTTGAGAGTCTTATAAAGAAACACATGGTAGGAGGTTATTTAATATTATGTTGCATTAAAACAGAAGAGAAGTAGAAAGGTAAATGAACTATTCCTGTGGAAATGGGATAGCTTGACAATTTTCTAGGTGAAGTAGGGGGTGGAACATAGAGATTTTTCTGGATGAGATGAGGAGGATGGATTGCAGACACTAGTCTGAATCTATCGTTTAGTTCCATTTGATGTCTACATGAGCATACGCCTCAGATATAAAATGCATTTTTCATCCAGAACTCAATATCTGGAAAAGTCAGTGAGATAACCGTTTTCTTAAGATCCAGTGCCATCATCCTGAAGTGCTTGTCATTGGAAAACTCTCTAATAATACATAGAGTTCTCATTGATGCTGACCTGAATACCATTGATATCTGAACATATTGATTTGTGTCACAAAAAGAAAGTATTTGTTAAGGATTCTGGTTTAAATATCATATGTTAAAATGTTTTAATGTTGAGTTGAATTAATAATTGACCCCTAACCCTAAAGCTTCCCATAACCGTAAAACACAGTCCTTTCAAAATGTATACTACCTCATGGAAAACTGGTTTTAATTTACTTCTCCTTGAAAGACCTCTTTGAGGGTATTTGCATTGTCAGCAGCTTAAATTGACCACAGAAATGATAACTAAATAATTTAGAAAATTGTAAGATGATTTAGGCATTTAAGATGTGTATAAGGTAATTAAAACCAAACCTTAGGAGGGTTAAGGCCACACTGCAGTTGGTTATTCTGCAGCTGGGGTCACTGCCTACATTGTACAAAGGCATATGTTCAATTTACAGTTGTAATGAGGAACATGGGGTGTTTTGATTCTTCATTTGCTGTGCTCATCTCTAGAGGATGCAATTGTCTGCGTTAAAAAATGCACATAGGCTCTTCTGTGGAGGGTAATAATATTGTGTCAAATAATACATGTCACATGCATGTACCATTGGCATATGGCTTTCTTCAGAGCTTGGAATTGTTGCCTTTAGCTGCTATCATGATGGAGACTCATGGAAATGTTTGTTATTATCCACTTAGAAATAAGAACAGCTCCTTTGATCCTGCTAGTTTGATCATGATTATTCCATTTTAACTAATGCATGGTGTTTATAAATGTGTTTCAGTAGATTGTTTACTTACAAGGGAAATTTCTGCTGTTTTCCCCTAATCTACAAAAGGAAAGAGGAACGCAGGTTGTAAAGTTTTCTTTTGTCTCCTGTTGAGTGTGTCCATGAAACATTAAAAGATGCAACAGAAGGGTTATTTTTTTTTTACATTTTTATTCTACAATGAAAACAATAAACGATATTGGGTATTCAACTCTTTTTGTATGCTGATTTCTCAAAATCACATGTTCATGGGAGACGTTTAAAGAAGTGTTTCCAGCATCATTATGATACAAGTTAGTATTTACCGCGAGCATCAGCTTCTTTTCGCTGTAAACCTGTAAGTCATTCCAGCGACCATTCTCTAAGGTGTGCAAAACTACAGATAGCCTGGCTCTGTTCAGGGCCTTCTTCTTGACTTATGGCAAAACAGACATATTACTTTCATTTAACAACTGCACAAAAGAGAAAGACCTTTACATCTTTCTCCTTTGGAAAAACAAATGGCAAATGATTGGAATTGATTAAAAATATAGTTTATTTTAATCACCCACAATTTTGTACCTGCCTACTACTGAATGTGTTACTTTTTCTTATTGTCCTTCCTCTTTTCCTCTTCAGTTTAGTGGCTAATTTTTCTATCTTGTGTGTGAACTTCCAACAACTCTGTCCTTCCTCTTCGTGGTCACCTGAGTGAACACTGCTCCTTCACAGCGCCTAAATTCCTTGCCATGCAAGTCCCCTGCTTCTGAGGTGGATTGATAACTTCTCAAAACAGAGTGATAAGAGTCATGCCTAGGATGTTTCTATTTTTCATCTTGAGAAGAGAAAATCTGGGGTTTTGGAGTTGGAAAGAAACAAATTGGAAGCAAGCCTCCCCAGCTATCTACCGCCAATCAGTTGAAAGGGGCTGAAGGAGGCCAACAAGTGAATAGGGCTTCATTTCCCAGTTCTGGAAGAGTTCTGATGTTACCCCCAGCACCCTTCCAAGATAAATCATTTTTATACCTTGGTTTGAACTGCAGAGGTGTCATCTGTCGAGGTAGACAGAGCTCTTGACACAGGATTTCTTTACATCCATATGTGTTGTTCTAAAGTGAAGACTGTTATCTCTGAAATATTCTAACTTCCTGTACCTATATCTTTATTTAAAAAAAACTTAGGGCTAGCAAATTCCTGATATGGAACATGTTGTTTACATTATTGACTACTCAAACCAAGAATTAACAGCATTCTAATTTTTAGAACTGTGCCACACAAAACTACTGTTCCATACTGGAAATATGTCTACAAACTTGGACCCTGGAATCAACTTGCATTATTATAGCTTTTTTTTCCTGCCTACTTTTCAAATCAAATTCATTGGTCTATTCCATCCCCTGGAAGTCTGATTTTGCAGCTCCTGGCTTTTCTCCAAAAGCCTTTCATTGTTGCACAAGCCATCCTGGTTTTCAATTCATCCTTCTTTATCCACTGTGTAAACTAGGTGGACCTGAATAGTTAGGAAAACTGAAAGCATTTGGTTGTTATTAGGGTAAGGATAGCCGGCTCACACATGTAAAACATTAAAGAAACCTTACAAATGTTTGAGCAATTTTTTTTCTGTTGTTGTTGTTTGGGGCTGTGGGGCATTTAACCACATCCTGCCATGCACACAAGCCCGGAGATTCTCTCATTACCAGGTAGAGTTTAGGCTAATAAAAAGAAAAAAAAAAGAAAAAACAAAAAACCAAGGACAGTATTTTCATTTTCTTTTCCCAGCATTTTATTGCCTTTATTTAAATGTAACATAATATACACTGTTCAGCCTTTTGGGGGGGTGGGTAGAAGGAAGGAGTGATTCTATATCAAGGAACCGTAGCGCCAGCACTCACAGCTCACATGGCTTTGTGTCTGTGACTGACACGCTTTAGCATGGTGGACCAGTGCCCACACTTCCCACGGAGGCACAGCTCCCAAAATAGTGATGCTTTTTTTTTCTTTAACACACAACATTCAGGACTGAACTTCTTTTCTATCAGTAGTTGCAAAAGGGACTACTATTACCAAACAAAAATGCAATTTTTTTTTAATGCGGAAAAATCCTCACTCCTTATTGAATTGTTTCTGTATTTATCTCTGTTAACTTGTATACAGAGAACGGTGTAGCGTGGGGAAGGGGAAAATATGTTTTCTATTTTTGGACTCTGCAAGCTTTGATACATTTTGCTAGAAGCTGTTTAATGTCTTGAGTACTATAATGATGACTGTTTACACGTAGTCTCTTTAGTAATCTAAATGGCAATGTGAAATAAGAATCCAACGTCTGCCCTATTTGCTGTTACTCTGGTCATTGAATACTATAGTTTGTCTCCCCAAACATTTAATTTTGGTTGTGGGTGGTCTGTATTTATGTGTCAGGTATAATTATTATTTTAAAATAAAAGAAAAAGAGAGACACCTAGTTTTTCTAGGGATGCATTACATTAGAGCTCTCAGACCCAGTTACCAATTAAATGTGAATGTACAGAATCCAACCACAAAAAAGCATACATTTTTAAAATCCCATTTGTCACAAAACAAGTTGAATGAAAAATACCATGAAATGCAGCTATACCCATAAACATAAGCACTGTGACTCTGTGCACTTCTCTTGAACTAATGCTTTACAAAGAAATCACAAAGTATGATTTTAGTGGAATTACTCTACGAGAACGTTCTCAGCAAAGTGGATTTTTAAATTACTGATTAGCTTTTAACTTAATATTTTAAGTAACCGATTTGCACTGGCAAAAGGTCCACAAATCACCAGCCTTTGTAGAGATTAAATTTTTAGTAAAAAGAATGCTTGCTTAGTCTTTTGTTTGTACAAAAATACTATATCAAGACAATAAAAATGAACAGATCTTCCAAAACAAGAAATAAGATAAAACTGCAGCATCAATATAGACTTAAAATTATCCTTTAAAATATTTAGAACAAATAATGTTTTTTACACTTTTAAATCATTACAGACACTGCAAATAAGGCTTATGTGTTTATTTAGTGAAATACAAAGTGACAGTGAATCGTACACTTACGTACTGCTTTCTATACCTGCTCTAAGAAAATGAATTTTGATGTGGTTATATTATAGAATCTTCTAGAACACTTTAAATGTACAGAAAACAAGCTTTATTTGGTTTTGTAAAGACTAGATCATACAGCTTGAACAGGTTTCAGCATATGGTTACACATATACCAGGATATATTTGCTCAGTTTTAGCCCCTGGGAGAGTTGTATGTCATACCAAATTCCTTTTTGGTTCTTTTAGGGGAGAAGCATTCTGTGAGACTTACAAAGGGTTCTTGCATATGAAGATAACCATTCCATCATTTTTGACTGTGTCCTATAGTGAACCATCATCAGAAAAAAAAAAAAGAAAACAGAAAATGAACAAACAAAAAAACAAGGTTAGGCTAAAATCTAAAAATTAATTTCCCTTGTTTTAGTATATTTATGGAGATAAAATAAGGCAATGAAAGAGAATTCATTTGGCCTTATATGTTTTTAAGTAAGGAAGCCTCAGAACTGACACGTGTTGGCAAATGTGACAGATATCTATTCCTTAAGCTACAGCAGGACTCTGCCATAGTCATCACTGAGGGTTCTTATTGCAGAAGTGCAAATGAAGTCAACCGATAGCACATAGGGCATTTTTGCTGCTCCCTTGATCTCGTCTCCTATTTCTGAAGTCTTCACCAAGTTCTTAAAACCCTTTGTCATGATCACGCGTAGGGTGCCAAAAAAAAAAAAAAAAAATGAGAAGGCAAATCAGAGGGCAGCGCTGAGGATACTCTTTAAAACCCCAAAAGATATTTAACATCCTATTAAATAAATAACTTAGAAAGAAATAGTAAAGGATGAAGGCAGAATGCACAAGCATACCATACTATTTGTATTGTTAGAACAGTTTCACACTAATATGCTTATATTTGTAAATCTGATCCAATTCTTCCACGGTGCCACACCCAAAGCTCCTTTGGTAGTGCATATGATATGACCCAAGTGCTTGCCAGTAAATGCTTGCGTGTCTTCTTGCTCTTTGAATCATCAGGCTTGAGTGAGCAATGAAAGTCTTTGATATGTGTTCATATTCCATAAATAACTTTCCCAAAGATCATTCAACGGATTGTTCCAGGTCCTTTAAGTTCTATCTCAGAAGTCCAAAAGGAAAAACTTAAACAAACAAACAAACACAACCCAGCCCACAGCGTTGTTCACTTGGGGATAGCTTCCATTCCATTTGATTTGCCTCTATCTTGGGTATAAGGCATGACACAGAGCTAATGAAAAGAACTTCATATGTCAGCAGTGAGTACAAAAGACTCCAAAGCCTTCCTTCCTTTAAGCAAGTTGAACTCTGTGATAAGTCTTCGCCTTTTACTCTACAGTCTTCTGTGAGGATATCAACTCTAACTCTTCCTGGTCAAAGAGTCTTTGGTTGTACTGCATCCAGCAATGGTGCCTTCTTCTATGAGTGGACCACCATTGGGAGGAAATGAGCAGAGGTGTTTTTCCTTCGTGTTTTTTGTCCTCTCCTGGGAGCTCCTTTTCCATTCAATGCTACATACATTTGCCGGCCGTTGTGCTGCCAGTTAAAGGATGCGTAGGTGTTGTATCCATTTTCCTCTATCCTCTCTTTCAGCTTGCAGTCGTTGTTAAATTCTTTCTGCAAAGGAAAAACAGTTATTTATGTGGATGGTGTTGATACTTGACTCCATAGGATATAGACCATCTAATGAGTTACAGTAAATAGTCTTGTTTATAGCTGCCATTTTTACATAATGCTCACTTCTTATAAAATGTCAACAACAGAAGAGTCAAAATTTCGAACAACAAGACAGATTCTGTGTTTGAAAACACATGACTCATCTTTGATTAATAACCACAAAACCACAGCCACATTTTCTGGCCCTTTATAAAAATGAAGTGCTTTGACTAGGGCATGGTTTAAGTGCCCAGAATGGTTGTCTGGAAGTAGATATCACATCAACAATATTTGTGAGGACAGTATTATAATGTTGTCTTTGCTAATGTTCAATATAGGTCCTATAGAAAAAATAGGATCACTAGAGATTTGGGCTTATCATATTTACAAACATTATCTACCTAAAAGTCAATCCAAGGAATGTTTTAAAGTTAAGATATAGAAAATGCTTTGCTTGGGGGTTGGGAGTTCGGCTTGCTTGGCAGAGTTCTTAACACAGAATGCATGAGACCCTGGGTTCTATCACTAGTACACCATATACTAGGCATGGTGGCCTAGAACGATAATCCAAACACTAAGCATATAGAGCCACGGGAATCAAAAATAAAGCTACACAGCGTTCCAAGCCAGCCATAGCTATGCAAGATCCCATTTAAAGGAAAAAATATGCCTTGTTTTGTAATATAAAAATAATTATGAACATAGTAATTAAAATAGCATTCGGATGTTCTCACTAGGGTATCATCTATACTTATATTATTTTTACATTGTACCAAGTTAGTGGTCAAGTCGTTTTAGGGAGTTTTAATGGGTCAAAATTTTTCTCTCATCTGCTTCCCAAATTCAGTGTCTTATTCTGAAGTTATTAACGGACACGAAAATCTAAAGAAATATCCCTCTGCTATCGATGCAAACTAGAGTAATAGAGAAACTAAGGACCAATAGTTTATGGGTTCCAATCCCTTCACATTTTGATGTGGGCACATTTTGATGGAGGCTTCAATTGCATAATTTCTTTCACCTCAGGAATCTTTGTGTTTTCCAATTTTAATTTTTTGAAGAATTTATTAACTTTAAAATGTATGTGTAGATATGTGAACCTGTATTTGTTTGAGTATACTATATTCCAGCAGGAACCCACTTAGGTCCAAAGAGGGCATCTGGTCTCCTGAAACTTGGGTTGTACAGGCTGTTGTGAACCACCATGTGGGTGCTGGTAACTGAACCCTGGTCCACTGCAAAATCAGGAAGCAGTCTTATCACTGAGCCATTGATCCAGGCCACAAGTTAAAGTCTGGTTTATAAATTTTCAGGTTTCAGTGGTATAAGTAATAATTAAGAACATAATAATGAAACATTGCATATTTACATAGATATTAACCCTTTATTTTTCCATTTTCTGGAATTGAATAGTAGCATTGTTTCTTTTCTTTAAGGTACTATTAAATGTAAAATTCACATGGTGAAAGGTTTGAAATTAAAAAGAAAAAATAAATTATCAAAAATAATTCTTATAATAAATTAAAAGTATACACTAGAAAATTAAATATTTTATGAACTTATTTAATTTTTATTCTTATTCATCTGTCTAAAAAATATGGATTTCAAGCAAATAGATGCTTCTATACTTATTAAAAGGGTATGCAATTTAAAGAGTCAGGGACGAGGCCAGTAACATAGTTCATTGATTAGACTCTTGCCTCAAAAACTAAATGACCTGAGTTCCATCCCCAGGGACCATAAGGTGGAAAGAGAGAACCAACTCTTTCAAGTTGTCTTTTGACCTCTACACGTGTATTGGTCCTCTCATGTACACATACACACAGATACACACATACACACAGAGACTAAACAAATGTAACAATTCTGTTCAAAGGAAGATTGGGGCTATTTCAGGTAATTTCATTTGGAGATGCTTATTTTTTTTCTTGTCATAATGAATTTTAAGAAAATTTTTTAAAGAAAAAAAAGAAGTGTGTCTTAATATTATTTTTTAAAAAGTGTGCCTGAGTCAGCTTTTCATCTCAGCTATTTTGACCCTTGGAATGTAACTAAGATGTACCATAGCTATAGTTTCTGAAGGATGGCCTAGACATTCATGAGATACAGGCAAAGCATGACTACTAATGTTTAAGAAATCTAGGTTGTACTAATGTGAACATTTCTCCCTGCTGGGTAGCCTTCATACTGAAAGGTGTTATGCAGGCTGATGAGGAAACCTATTAGTAGTCTCCTAGGTCTGTGAACCTTGTGAATTGCAGTAATGACTGGTGTGGCGAGAAATGCCCTTGGGTACAACAGTCGTATAAATATTATGGGAATAACCACCACTTTCTGATTAGATATAAAGCCCATCTCACAGTAGAAAACACATGCCCTGTGCTATAAATCGGGCCAAGAATTCACGGTTGGGGAGTTTACAGGCCACAGGAGTGAACCTACTACTACTATTTTGCTAAATAGAGAGTATTAGACTGCCCCCCTAAATCTCTGTCTCTTGACTGATAGATTAGCACACCTTTTAGAATTCTGGGATTCCTGAAGGCAGGATCGCTATTTTGGACTGAGGTCAAGGTAAGAGTCAGTAGCTGACTGCTTTGCTTTTCGGATCTTCAGGTTGAATCCAATTTCTATTTCTGAGTTTTTATTAATTGTGCAATGAGAAGGTAAAGTGATAAAAGTATATCTTGATGGAGATAGGGGAAGGATCTGGTGATGAATATGCTAAAAATACATTGTATAAAATTCTTAAAGAATTAATAAAGATATTTTAAAAGAAGTAGCCAATGTATTTTTCTGTATACTTCTTGCATACCTGGCACCTGAGGAGGTTATCAGAGTATTATATTCGCTGAAACAGGAGTTACCTAAGGTTGTGAGCCATCATTTGGGTGCTAAGAACTGAACTTGGGTCCTCTGCAAGAGCAGCAACTTCTCTTAACTGCTGAACTATCATCTCTCCATGCCTATGACATAATGTTTTTAAAAGAAAACTTATAAGCAGATTTATTTTGTTTGTTGGTGGTGGTGGTGATAGTGGTGGTGGTGGATTTTTATTTCTTTGTTTCGTTTTCTTTTCTTCTTAAATGACTGTATGTGTGTACATATGTACATGTTAGGTCACACATGTGGAAGCCAGAGAAAGACTTGTGGGAGTCATCTCGCTCCTATCAGTTGAGTTCTGGAGACTGAGCCCAGGTTGTCAGACTTGGTAGCACATTTACGTACTGGACTATCTGGCAGGTCCTCAAACATGTTTAATTGGGAAAAAAAGCAAAAACAGTATTTTTGCAAAAGTGGTACAAATTTACAGCCCTAAATGGAGCTATTTTTAAAATTTTTCTGTTGCTTTTTAGTCTCCTTTTAGAATGATATGTAATAAAGAAATTGAATTAAAATTCCTGTAGACCTCAAACTTCACGTATTCATTCTGGTATGACTGGATTGTCACTTAACAGTAGACCTGATATGAATAAAAGACCAAACTAGGCCATTTCTAGCCTTTGCTTCTCAATTCTCAGTAATTGAACCAGGAGTGTGGGCAGCGCTTGATTTCACATTGAATGTGTAAATTTCTGGACCTTATCTTAGACTCTGAATCAGAGAGTCTAGGCCTGCCTTGGTCACATTATTATGTCTTTTAACAATGCCTCACATTGATTTTGAGGCTTACTTACGTATAAGAACCACCACCAACACTTATGTTAATCAAAAAAGTAAATTTGTTTGTATACTTCAAGTTAAATTCTTTTCGATGCTGTGAAAAATGTAAAAGTGCACACTATCTGGCTAGAAATACATGAGATTATTTAAAGTAACTGTGTCAAATGTTTTATCTCGAACCATTGATATTATTATATATATCCTCAAAAGATGTAATCAAAATTTTATATAGCTATATTCCATGTTCTCTCCTAGAGTGGAATTCAGAAAAATTTAAGATCATTTAGTAGAGTTTTAAGATTAAAACGATGAAACAAATCCATCATCATCAACTGATCTGCTTGTGCTATCCTTAAAAAGGCAATTAAGTCTTCCCATAATATCTATAATATTCATGCATAATTAGAATTAATGACTATTGCCTAGGTAAGTGTGATTCCAGGGTTCATTGAATAACTTGGAAAAATTCATGTATCTCTTGATATGTTTCTTTACTTATGATTTTAACAAAACCACACAACATCTGCGCCCTAGTTTTCTTTTCAACTGTGGCAGACATTCATAGTACATGAGGTTCCATTCCACCCAAGGCTTTTGATCTAAGCAATTCTTCTCCAAGTTGTCTCTAGTTCCCATGCTACTTTGTTTGCTTGAGTGAAAGTCTGATTGACTTATAGTTCTGCACATTCACAAATGTCAGTAATAGACTCATGGGCAAGCAACCAGGGGATTATAAAGCTGAACAAGGGGCTCTGCTGGCCCTTGAGATGCTGGTGGCCCAGCCCCTCCCTCTGTGAATCTGGTTAGTAATGATGGAATGACTACAAGGACATTCAATTTTCCTCCAGGAAACTATCTAAGTCTCTGGTACTAACTTAGGCAATGTGTTTTGAAAACGAAAGCCAGCTACTTACCGAGCCATAGAGTTTCCCCTTCTTGTTCATGGCTAAGTAATAGTTGCTGTTAATGGCTTTGACTGCAACAACTCCGATTTCCACTGATGTTATCTCTAGGATACCTAAAACACATAATTATAGAGGCAAGTTGTAAAGAGTTATCTGTGCTTAGGTAGGAGAAGGTAAAACAACCAAAACAAATGAAAAGGTACATTTTGTATTGTCTCAAAAAGCAAAAGGCAAATAGTGGGGTAGCCAAACTGAGCCAAAACTGTGTTGGTGTGGACAATTGTCTGTATTCTGTCAATTATGATTTAAATAAACGCTGATTGGCCAGTATCCAGGCAGGAAGTATAGGCGGGACAACCAGACAAGAAGTAGAGGCAGGACAATGAGAACAGGAGAATTCTGGGAAGAGGATGCAGTACCAGCCCAGACACAGAAGAAGCAAGATGTGATGGCCTCGCTGAAAAAGGTTCCGAGCCATGTGGCTAACATGTACTAGAATAATGGGGTAATATAAGTTACAAGAGTTAATAAGAAGCCTGAGCTAATGAGCCAATCAATTTACAACTAATGTAGACCTCTGTGTGATTTCTTTGGGACTTAATGACTGCAGGAACCGGGCAGGACAGAAACTCAGACAACACTGTATGAATAGGTTGAAAACCCTAGTGAATACAGAAAGCCAGTAGTAAGACTTTGGGAGATTTCCTTCCCGTTTTTACTCTGAGCATATACAGGCAAATGTTGTTTTAATTAAAATGCTTCCTTTGCAACCTCTTCATTTTCAACCCCATAAATATTGAAACTCCTCTACTCATCTTAGCCTACATTTCACAAAAATTTATCAGAGCCCACATCTCTACTGTGGTATTAAATTAAATCCACAGCATATGTCAGTGATATGTCAGACTTACCTCAATCTGTAAAAACAATGGCAAACTATTTTTTCTTTGTAGTGCATTTAGATAAACTAAATCCCTTGGCTGAGTTTAACTGATAAATTCATTTTTGACCAATGTGTTGACGTGCTGAGGCACAGGGAGACTTGTCTCAGCATCTGTACAACCTTACCATAGCAGATACAATGCTCCACGTTAAGGTATTTTCTCCTTTTTTGAGAAAGAAAGGAAAGCAGAGGGAAGCAGTGATTGACAAACAAGACCATTTCCTCCAGGAACAGGTGTTTGTTTGGTTTGGTTTATGTAAAGATGGTATCCTCAGAAAAGTTTGTAAGCAGGTGTAGAAAAAGCATTTGATGTAGAATGCAAAAAGCCCAGCCATTTTATCCTAAGACTACGTCAAACTAAAACTCATTTCGTTATTTTTAACAGAGGGATAAACAGCACGGCGAGGAGAATGTGGTATCAGGAGTTAGGGTCTATGTACTTGACTCCTGGCTATGTATCTGTTGGAAAATGATCCCAGAAGACATCAAACCATTCTATGTCTCTGTGTCAATTGAAAAGTGGACAACAGAACATTACTTCTCTCAGAATCTTGCTGTGATGGCAAACAAGATTATATACACAAAGTTATTAGTATCTTCCTAGAGGGCAGGACTCTAGTTATTATGAGAGGCATTTTTCCCCTGAATTTTAAAACTTCTTCAAGAGGCTATGGACTTTTTCATAGATCAGACAAACTCCCCATTATCTTAGCCAGCTGATGTAGAAGGAAATCGTAGTTACCATGCATTGTGTATCATCTAAGATGACAAACACCATCTTCAATGAGTATATAAAATGTGTTCTCAGATTTTGTCCCCTCTAAGGGACATGAATGGTTTCTCTCCTATTTTTTCCCAGCTTAGTCTGTGAGAAACTAGTAGAAATGCTAGACTTTTCTGACAGCAAAGCTGACACTTCCACCAGATAACATGAAACAAAACCTCTATGTGTCAAGGAAGTATTTGATTTCACACAGCATAATCTTCCCTAACATAGCATCTCACTGTACTTGCAAACCTAAACCAAGGACATCTGTGAGGTCTGTTTGGGGCAATGTTTATTTCATCAGTATATCTTACTCTATGCTGGTTATTGTACTTGGGGTACTCACCCACATGTTCATTTGCATATTTAAAAAGTACTCTCTTGCAGTTTGTTTCTTTAATTTTTCTTAATTAAATTTAATTTTTTAAAAAGTTTTAACTGTTCCCCAAGGAGGTATTGTCATTCTTATTGTCAATTGTAGATTAGAATATTGAAGATAAAGTTGTATAGCCCGCATACAGGTAATTTTTAGGTCCATCATGATGGTTATATACACCCGGTCCCAGCGCTTTCACACTTTCTTTCCCCCACCTCTGAATATCTTCATTTTTCTATCTTTCCCTTTTCCTAGAGGGGGATTCTGTATGAAACATTTAGCAATATGATTCTTTGGAAACTCTTATTAAATGACAACATGTTATCTTTCCAATGATGTAGGTGTGCCACATGGGAAAACTTCTGAGGTTCAGAGGGTGGAAAAGGTTAATAAACTTTGTGACAAGGAAAAGATACCAACTATACAGGAAGTGGCATTTTGGTGCAATGTAGAGGTGTTTAGACTGCTGTGCCTGCAAAAAGGGAGTGTATGGTATCAGTAAACTGTGAGATTGGCCACATGTATTTCTACTGAGACAGGAAATTGATAGAAAAGAAAGACAGGAAAAATGTTTTAACAAATAACAAAACAAAATATCTGAAGGAGAAGTAGTAGAGGGAGCTGTAGTAATGAGACAAAGACAAGGAAACAATATGACCTGAATATCACCAAATCCTAAGCTAGTTGTTTTGGAAAATTTGTGGCATACAACAGGTTTACTAAGATACACTTAAATTTTTTGTGTTTTACTTCAAATGAGAGCTCAGTATTTAAAGGATTGATCAAACATCCTGTTTTACTTTACAGCTAGTTTGAGTAAGAATGCAAAATGTTTACTTTTAAGTATTTTTGAATGAAGGCATTGAAATGTACGTATCTAAGGATCATAATATGAGCTCTACCACGTATGTGTATTGCTCGGTATTCATATCAGAATAAGTCTGCCTACCTCTTCAAAAGAGGTCTACTATACTTTTAAAATGAAAAAAGGAAAGACGTGGGTGATTTAATACCCCCTTGAATTCTAAAAATAAGTTTTGAATGTACCACAGGTCACTAGGTCATAATTTGGAAGCTTTGTAGGTCATAGGCAAGTGCTGCATTTATTTATTGCAAACATCATTGAATGTGGATGCTTCTTTGTGAGGAACCAAGCCTACAGGGCACCCCTGTTTCTTCATATGTAATTTCTGCAGATTTTAGTATTTGGTGAAAATTATCAGGTTTGTTTATTCAAATTATTTTTGAAAAGAGACTCCAGATTTTTTGTGGTTCATTAGATCACTAGCCATTAAATTTGTATGGATTCACTTTGACATAAAATGCAATGCCAGTTGAAAGACATAATACTAAAGAATGAGTAAAGGGTATAAGGTATCTCTCTGCATTTCATGCATCTTATATGATGCTATAATTATCTCAAAAATTAGAAGTTGCTAAAAGCCTTTGAAAGCCAAAGTTATGATTGAGTGGTAAAGACATCTACTGTGAAGTCTGGGGACAATTGTAATTTAATTTTAATCAATATGTTGAAATAGAACATGGTCAGGATAATGGTATTAGAATTTAAACTTTTTAAGTTAAATCTCTCCCTTTCCTATATGGGTTGTAGAGTCCTAAACTGATTTATTGTATGTTAATATGGGAAAACATCTTGGGTAGCCATTACTTTTAATATATATATTAATAATATATATTATAATATATAATATAGTATATATTAATTATATAATATTAATTAATTATATAATAATATATAATAATTATATATATATATATATCAGGACTTAGGTAACCCCGCTCAGTATTGTGAGACACCCTGCAGGGCTATGCACTTCATTTCCTAAGAATTTCTGTTTTGGGTCTCATATCTTTCATAATTCATCTCCTTTAAGGAATCATAGTAAGCACAGTGATGCTCATTATATACACTTGATACATAGTCATTGAACAACAAAAGGAAAAAGAATCAATGCTGTGCAAAGCAAAATAGGGCATTTCTGAAATCTCAAATTTTTGTTTGTTCTATTGTGAAATCATGAAATAATATTTTTATTAAAATGAATACAAAAGGAAGGAAAACATCAAAATAAAGAAATGTTGGTGAATTGTAAGATGTATTTGTTATCAGTCATAGGTAAATTATTATAAATGTGAAAGTTTTTATTGCTTTTAAATAATCTTCAACTATTGGTTAATATAATTATAAGTAGAGAAGTTTTGAAATGATATTGAAAGGTTATTTTTGGTGTTGGAGCCTTGATTTAAGCAATATTTATTTCTGGGCAACAGAAGATAACAGGATAATCTATCTCTATTTAATCCAAACCATCTCTCCAGCTCCTTTAAATTGAATTAAAACAATAATGTAGCACAGATAAGGCTGCAATAAAGCACCCTCTTGTGTCATCTACTTTTACATATGACTGAAATTTCCAATTAATTTAACAAAATATATCAGAGTTAAGTATTATATCTTTTACATAGAAATATAGTCTTGGAGAAATTACTAATTATAAGTTAGTGGACATTTATTATTTTGAGTGTGATTGATTGGATATTTGGACCCAAAGTCTTTCTGCTTTTTCTATATTGTTGGGCTTTACTAGGAAAACTGTTATTTAGTAATATTCAAAACCTTAGCTAGAGTCACGAGAGTGAGGTACATATGTATGTTGGCATTCATGGCTAGATACACAGAGAGACCTGAACAACTTGTTCTTCCTCATCATGTGATGCTGTCTGCCATATTGTTGCCACAAGAAGGGTTTACCAGATGTCCAGAACTTTTTCTCATCTGAAACAGTGAGTTGAATAAACCTGTATTCCTAACATGGTACGCAGTTGCGTGTGTCTTAGAATTGAGCTCCGTTTCCACGATGCTTCTTTCCTTCCTGTGACTGTCAGAACATCTGACATCCATATCTAGTGTTGCTTTCTTTCTACTTGTTTTTATTTTGATAATCACATTATATTAAAAGGTCTCAGAGACTATAGAGTAAAAAAATTTACCAATAACATGAATGTT